TCCTGCTCAGCGGGAAGCCTGCTTCTCCCTCTGCCCCTTCCCCTGCTCACGCTCGCTTTCTCTAATAAAGAAGTAAAATCTTTCAAAAAAAATTAAAAAAAAAAAAACCCATAAACACCCAACTGCTCTCCACTGTCTTTGAGGCCCTGCATGGTCCGGCCTCACTCCTGCCCGGACCTTACCTCTTACCTCTCCCCTCATTTCCTTCCCAAGAGCCACGAGCCTCCCTCCCTAGCTTCCTTCCTCTGCGTCAGACAGGCCCTGCTGTTCTTGCTCCCGGCCTTTGCACTCCCTGTGCCCTCTGGCTGGAGCACCTTTCCTTCATGCAGTCCCTCCCCCAGGAAGCCTCTGGGATCACTCTCGAGGACGGGTCTGGCACTGCCTCTCAGCTCACACAGGCCCCCGAAGCTTGCCTCCTCCCCGCCCTCATCACCTTGGCCCGTGCCTTCCCCATCTCTGCTCTGACACGGCGCCCCGTGCTTTCACCTCAGAACTGACCCCTCCGACCTCCGCCTCCTCCATCACAGTGCACGCTGTTCTACCTCTGCGTCCCACTGCCCTGCCATGGACACTCTGGGCTGTCACTGTCATTGCTGGGTCTGTCTCTCCTGCTGGACTGGGATCTCCTTGAGGGGTGGGTTGCCAGCACTGCCCACCTCAGGGCCGAGCAGAAAGCCTCCGTGGGCCACGTACCTACATACATGACGGTGCCCCGGCGAGGGGGCTGCCCGGGCGCCCGCACTTCACAGCGGCTGCCCACGGGGATGGCGCGGGCCTGGGTCTTCTCCTCGTTCAGGCGCTGGGTGGCCTCGGCCTCCTGCTGTGCTCGCTCCTCCTCGTTGTAACGGCCCAGCTTGCTGCGCTTCAGGAATGAGCGGACTGAGTCTGAGGGTGGGGTGGGGGACAAGGCTTAGACATGGTTTCCCTGGTGTGGCCTCTGGCCTAAGGGGACCACCTTCCACCCACACAGGGCCAACATCTAGAGAGAAACTCTTCTGGGTGTTGGAGGGCTGCCACCCAAGCCCCGAGTCTCCCACTACAGCCCTGGCTTCTCCCCAGGACTCCTGGGGCCTCTCCACAATCCAGAAACTAAAAGGAAGGTGCCTGCCTCCAGTCCTCCCATTGCCCCATCTTCCGACATCCCTTCAGTGTCATATTGCCTCCATCCAGCCTCTCATCCTGCCCACTACACGTTCTGTTTTGCTCATGCCCCCATGGGACCCTAACTACCCCCCCACCCCAGACTTCCCTCTCATGCCCCTGTCTGCTGACCTGCGCTCCCTCACACCTCCCCCATTCACACCCTGTGCACCCCCAAGCCCTATCTGTCCACACACCAACCTCATCCCATGACCTCCACTTGCCATGTCTGTCTGTCCCCACTGCCCACACCACCGACCCCCCCACAGGGTCCCTGTCTGCCCCCGACCTCTGTCCGCCCGCACAGATGCCTTCTGGCCCCCACATGCCCCCACCCGTCCCTCTGTGCCTGTACCTTGCCTCTGGTCATAGGCTTCCTGTGAGATCTGGTATTTCTCCACCTTGGACACATCTTCATACTCCCCAAGGCGGGCACCACTGTGGTCAATGACCTGTAGTGAGGGGAGGGAGGTCAGTGGGGAGCAGGGTGCAGAAATGTCTTTAGCCCTTTTCAGGAACAGCAGGGACACCATGGCGGCTGGGGAGGCGAGCCAGGGGAAGCTGGGAGACACAACAGATCACTGCAGACTTTGGCTTTTACCCAGACTGAGCTGCAGCCAGGGAGGCTCTGAGCCAGGAGTGCCCTGACCTGACTCAGGGCCTCACAGGCTCCTTCTGGCTGCAGGTGGGGAGCAGACTGCAGCCTGCCCCCCCCCCACCCCGGGAAGGGCTGCTGTGGAGTCCAGGAGTGAGATGGAGGCTGGGACAGGGCAGGCGCAGTGGGGCAGAAGAGTGTAGACTCCAGAGAGATTCCGGAGGTGGAGTCCACAGGGTTTGCACACAGACTGGATATAAGTGTGAGGAAAAGAGAGGGGTCAGCAAAGACTCTCAGGTGTTTGGCCCGAGCCATTGGGGTAACACAGCAAAACAGAAACGGCCCTTTTCTCTGGCCAGGATCGCTAAGAATTTCTACTTTCTGTATTAAGGATCTTGTAAATTTGAGGTGGCTATTATTTTAGGCAACAAATATAGATTAATATATTTTATATATATACTTAAAAATTGTTTTTAAGTAATCTGTGTGCCTAACATGGGGCTTGAACTCACAACCCTGAGAGCAAGAGTCACATGTTCTACTGACTGAGCCAGTCAGGCACCTCAAATACAGGGAATATTTATAAACAGGAAAAGAATTTAAAACAAACAAAAAAAATTCCCCAGAGGCTGCACCTCTAGGAAACCTTCCTCAACTGACCTCAGAAGTGAGAGGCCTGTCGACACCTGAATCCATGTGTGAAAACCTCCTGTTTGAGGACGCCACGACCCGTGCCTGGCCCACCAGCATCTGGGGCTGAGGCTGCCCACTTGTCAGACCAAAGTCTCAGTCCTGGGGGCGCAGTACTATCCTGACCCACGCCCACTATGATCCAGGCCCCACTGCACCACCTGGACTATGGAAGAAGCCGCCTCCCCAGTCTCCCTACTCCTCTGGTCTTCTGCAGTCTGCTCCCCACACACAGTCAAAGGGAGCCTGTGAACACCTGAGCCAGACCAGGACTGTCCTGGCCCAGAGCCCTCCCCTGGCTCCCACTTCTGTCTGCCAGAGGAGAGGCCACTCCTCAGTCCCTGTCCTTAACTGTGCTCCTTTCCACCTCAGTGTCTGCACACATGCTGTGCCCTTTTCCTGGAGTATTCTTTTCCTTTCCTCAGTTAACTCTTCCTGTTTTTCAGGCCTCTGCTCAGGCATCACCTCTTCCAGGAAGTCCTCCCAGACCTCACTGACAGGTCAGGTTCCCCCAGTATCAGTGCTCCCAGCTCTGTGAGCTCTTCCTATATGGCTCTCGTGTCTCTGACATTTCATATTTGTTCCTGTGAATGTTTAGCTAACATCTACCTCACACACTGGACAGAGCTAAAACAGAGACCTGGTCAGACCTGGCTCACAGTTATACCCCTGGCATAACACAGATGCTCAATGAACACTTAAAAGGTAACAAAGAACCAGTTTCTCTGAGCACAGTGACTTCCAGAGTCATGCAGATTGAGCTGAAAATTCTAACTATAGTTCATCCTTAGGAAAGTAAATTCCATCCTGAAGCTAAGTTTTATCTTGTGCAAAATGGGGTTAATCACACCATCTTCCAAGTCTTATTTTATGGATTCAGGTCAGTATCCAACAATGATTCACTGAGCATCTTCTCTGTAGTAGGCATTATTCCAGGTGCTGGGGGAAATGCACAGTATGTCACAGGGTGCTAGGAGCTAAGGACAAAAACCAAGTAAAGTGGAAAAGAGAGGAGATTTAAATTTTATACTAAGGTCAGTGAAGGTTTCACACCCTCCAAGTGTGTGAGGAAGGGTGGAGTGAGCCATGTGAAGCCATATGAAAAAGAACCATGCAGGCTCAGGGTATATAGCACTTGCAAAAGCCCTGAGGTGGAGGTCACCTGGGACGCTGGGATACCTGAAGAGTAAGGGGAGGACACAGGATGACGTGAGTTGATCCATGCAGAGGTCCTCTGTGTTCCGACTTCTCCCAACGCATCCAAGTCTCATCACTCACCCTGACCCACCTCAAACTATGCCTCTGTACCCTGTTCCCTCCTCCTGGCATGCTCCTCCCACCCCTTATCCTAAGTTGCCCTTTCCTCATCCTTCCGGTCTCAGCTCAGGCATCCCACCCCCCCAGGGAGCCTCTTCTGATATTTCCAGGAGGAGTCAAGTACCCCTCTGGGGGCTCCCAATTCCCTGGGCTTTTCCCAGCCCAGTTCACACTACTTTGGCTGTCACTGTCCAGTGATGGTTCTGTCTCTCTCCCTGCTGGACTGGGGGCTCCACGAGAGGAGGGCCTATCTCGGTTATCACACAGAACAATGTACAGCAAGTATTCAATAAATAAATGAATGGAGGGGAGGTCTCACGTGGACGCGGCAGCCGTCGTCTACGGGGTACGAGCCCAGCAGTGCATCCTCCTGATCCAGCTTGCTGTACAACTTGTCGTCAGGTCCATACAGCTCCAGTTCCATGCAAGAAGCAGGACTGCCCACCACCAGCTCTAGTTTACACTGCGCGGGGAGCAGCCGATGGAAGGCTGTTAGCGGCCCCACCCTCTGCCCTGAGGCTCCACCCCCTTTTTTTTTTTAAGGTATGTATATTTATATATTTTTATATTTTTTAAAGTAAACCCTACGCCCAACGCGGCGCTCGAACTCACGAACGGAGATGAAGAATCGCAAGCTCTACCAGGGGAGCCAGCCAGGCGCCCCTAAGCTCCGCCCCTTGTAACAATCATCCCATCCTTGCTCCTCCAAGAAACCCACCATTTAGGACCCACCTGGTTATCCCTGGCCACGCCCTATGCAACCTCTGATTTCCCCTGGCTTCGCCCCCAATTTCTGGAACCTCAAGTTCCCTCTGGGCCCGCCCCTCCGGGGCCCAGTCCCCAGTCTGTTCAACCTCAGTTGATCCCTGGCCCCACCCCGCGTTCGGGAAGACCCTCCATTTCTCCTTTGCCCCGCCCCCTCAACCCCCACGCCCCGCCCTCCGAACCCCGCCCCCACGGCCACACCTTGAACTCAGCGATGGTGAGGCTGCGACTGTACCGCTTTTCAGAGCGGAAGCTGTTGAGAGAGCTGCTGATGAAAACGGTCACTGTGGGCGCCGACAAGCCCGTCACCTCCATCTCGCCGCGCCCTGCCGGGGTCCGCAGCCCGGTCAGTCGCCTCACGCCAGCCCCGCAGCCGCCGCCGCCGCGTCTGGGATATCAGCCCCTCCCCTGCTCCCGACCTGGCCAATCCATGCTCTCCCACAAGCAGGGTCCGCCAATCGCCGCCGTCTCTTTTCCACGCCAGGAAGCGGGCTCTCCCGTACTCTTGGGTAGGCCCAGCCAATCCTGAGAGGCCTTCCATGGTGCATCGTTCTTCCAATAGCCGCCCGGGAAACTGCCCGGGCGAGCGAAGGCTGAAGCCCACAGGAAGGACTGGCAAGAGTTACCTCGTCCGCGCATGTGTACTAGCCTTCAGCCAGCAAAAAGCAATGGCTTCATTTATGCTCCCGGCCTTGCATATTACGTAAAGCATCGTATTCCTTATTCCTGGCTCTCGTACCATGCTATTCTACAAACGGGGAAAGCGAGGCTCGGAAGTTGGAAACAATTACCGCAGGATATAAATAAAAACTGAAGCAAGTTATTGTCGAACCTCGGCGCAGAGAGCCGAGAACAAAGCCCCAGGGAGACAGTACGTGTGCGTAGCTCCGCCCCTCCTTTGGCGAAGCAACTAGGCTTCTTGACCCTTCCCGCGACCGGTCGCGCGGCGGAGCAAGTGCGGAAGGCTGGCTTGGCGGGCAGTGTGTAGCTATGGAACCAGACGGGACCTACGAGCCGGGTTTCGTGGGTATTCGATTCTGCCAGGAATGGTGAGGCTGGGCCTGCGAGTGTGTAAGGGAAGCAAGTAATGGCCCCAGGACTGACCTCTGACTTCTCCCTCCCACAGTAACAACATGCTTTACCCCAAGGAGGACAAGGAGAACCGCATTCTGCTCTACGCGGTGAGCACGAGCCTGCGGAGTGCCCGGGTCTTCCCAGAACGGTCCACCTGTTCCCAGTGTGGCCCCAAGCTACTCCACGTGACCCTTACTCCTTTTTACGCCTCCTACGCCTTTGGGCTCGCCTCCTATCCCCCGAGTGAACCCTACTCTCGTCTTGCCCATCCCCGAAGTGATTCTCAATATACCCCGTTATCCCAACTTCGAGACTCCACGCTCTAGTCATTCCCTCCAGGGAAGACCCAGCCTTCCCTTCCAGTCGCTTCCCCGATCTCTCCATGACCCCCTTCCCGCCACACTCGCCCTCTCGTAGTGCCGGAATTGTGATTACCAGCAGGAAGCCGACAACAGTTGCATCTATGTCAACAAGATCACGCACGAAGTGGAGTGAGTGGCAGCACTAGAGCCGGGGGACGGGGTTGTTGGCTGGGGGGCCTGGTCTGGGCATAATTATTCACCTTCTGTTCCCTCAGCGAACTGACCCAGATTATCGCTGACGTGTCCCAGGACCCCACGTTGCCGCGGACCGAGGACCACCCGTGCCAAAAGTGAGAGCGCGCTGTTGGTATTGGGGATGGAGAGTGGGTCGTCCTCGCTGGGTGAAGGGAGGAGGGAAGGGTATAGTTGGCTGAGGGGCTGACTGTCCTCCCAGGTGTGGCCACAAGGAGGCGGTGTTCTTCCAGTCACATAGTGCCCGGGCCGAGGTGAGCGGCAGGAGGAAGGCTTTCTGCGTGTCCCAGGGTTGGTCCTCCCTGGGGGCAGGGATACCAATACTGGGGGGGGGACCCTTACCAGTGGGGAAGGCCCCTTTGCCTATTATTTTGGGGTGTGGCTCTGCTGGATGGAGGTTGTGTGTTGTACACTTCCGTGGGGTGCCAACCCTAACCATGCACCCTTTCTGCCAGGACGCCATGCGCTTGTACTATGTGTGCACGGCCCCACACTGTGGCCACCGCTGGACCGAGTGAACTGTCCGCTCCTGTGTGTAATAAATTCTGTGTTTTGTGCGTGCATTCCCTGCGTTTATTTGCCTCTTGTGGGTTGTGTGGGATGCACATTCTCAAGCAGCGCGATGTAGGGCGCGGTGCTGCACGTAGGCGTCCGGCCTCGAGCAGGTGAAGCCACAGTCCTCACACACATGCAGCTTCTCACGGCGCTCACGATAAGCGTAGCTGGCCGGCTGCCCATGCACCTTGGCAAGATGAGCTTCAAGTGAGCAGCGCTGTGTAAATGCTTTCCCGCAAGCTCCACAGCGGAATGGCCGGATCCCTGTGCAAAAGGGCAGAGGGGGGAGAGGACAGACAGGGCAATGGTCTCCAAACCAAAGCCTCTCCACCTTGCCCTCCATGAGCATTCCCGCATTCCTACTCCGAGTTGTGCAGACTCTGCCTGTGTCCCACCATGTGCTACCTCCACCCGTGGAAACATGGGCCAGACACCTGTGTTCCCCACCTGCTCATCAGGATATTCCTTCTCCAGGAGGAGAAGGAGGGAGGCTTTTCCTTGCGCCCTTCCATCTAGGACCTGAATCCTGTAGCCACTACTGTCTTCACGCTGCACCCCTCAGCAGGCCTCCACCCTGGAACCGCCTTAACACCCACTGGCTGGGATCTTAAGTAGGTTTTCCAAGCCACCTGATGGCTGAGTCTTCACCCCATGAACACAAACACTGGAACATCCTGGGCACCTCTCTCCCATTTCATTCCAGACTTTCCTGGGGCCCAGCCGCCCTTCCCTGCCTCTGCCCCTCCTCACCGGTGTGAGTCCTCATGTGGCGCTTGAGGTCGAAGGCATCGTGAAAGCCCTTGCCACAACAGTGGCACACGTGGCGGCGCACAGGGCTGTGGCACTTGAGGTGTCGTGTCAGCATGCGCTGCAGAGGGAAGGCCTTGGGGCAGAGCGGGCAGCCAAGTGTCCCCGGGCCCCTGGGAGTGGAGGCCAGCCTGCCCTGCATGGGCTGTGGGAGGGACATGGGAGTTAGACGCCCTGGGCCGGAGCAAATAGAATACCTAGAGTCAGGAACCAAGGAGGGCTGGGAAGGCTGCTATTCGTGTGTGCAAAGGCCTTCCCTGACCCTTCCCCATTGCCTTCACCTTGCTCTCTATTTCCCCATAGCACATCTTCCAATGTAACATAGATTTTTCTAATTTTATCGTCTATCCCTGTAGCCCCCACCAGATCATAAGCTCCAGGAAGGAGAGAATTTTTGTCTTATTCCTGGTAAATATCCGTTGTCTAGAACACTTCCTGGCTTTCAACCAATACTGAAATAATCCCGGTCATATTTCTATTCCGGCTAGTGCTTTCCTTCTTCCAGGGCATGCACAGCTGAATATCCCTTCTGAGAACCCCAGTCTTCCCATCCTGCTCCTGTCACCTTTTCTGATCTGACATAAAGCAAATCACCAGGGGCGCCTGGGTGGCTCAGTCGTTAAGCGCCTGCCTTCGGCTCAGGTCATGGTCCCAGGGTCCTGGGATCGAGCCCCGCATCGGGCTCCCTGCTCGGCGGGAAGCCTGCTTCTCCCTCTCCCACTCCCCCTGCTTGTGTTCCCTCTCTCGCTGTGTCTCTCTCTGTATGTATGTATGTATGTATGTATGTATGTATGTATGTATAAATAAATAAATAAATAAATAAAAATAAATAAATAATAAATTAAAAAAAAAAAAACCTTAAAAAAGGAAATCGCCATCCACTTGGCTTGAATCTTGTTCTGCCCCACTGGACAGAGGGATCTCGGGATAGGAAATGTGACTGCCCACCCTAGGGAAATGGTGCCTGGGGTGAAGCCTAACAGTGAGCTCTACTAAGAAAGGAAAGGTGGGCGCCTGGGTGGCTCAGTCATTGGGCGCCTGCCTTCGGCTCAGGTCATGATCCCGGGTTCCTGGGATCGAGTCCCGCATCGGGCTCCCTGCTCGGCGGGAAGCCTGCTTCTCCCTCTCCCACTCCCGCTGCTTGTGTTTCTGCTCTCACTATCTCTCTCTCTGTCAAATAAATACAATCTTTAAAAAAAAAAAAAGAAAGGCATTCCCAGCAGAGAGAACAATAGGTGGAAAGGTCCTGAGGCTGGAGGGGCGTGTGCAATGGGCTCAGGAAGTAAAGGGCAGTCAGGTTATGTTGAGGCTGAGAGCGGGCAGAGATGAAACTGAGCAGGGTCTTGTGGTCCAGCTGCAGACTCACCGCTACCCAAGAGTCTCCGAAGCCAGAAGACTGGTGTGCTGGAGGGCCCTGCTGGTTGCTGCAGTCTGAGGAGAGAAGCCAGACGGTGATGCTTTGTGTCTCACCTACCCCTCACCTCCAGGCCCAATGAGGGGCCCACCTGGGACATAGGCATCTCCCCGGAGCTGATCAGGCAGGTGGCCCCAGTTGGGTGGCTGTGAACGCCGACTCCTGACCAGGAAGGCACGGGGCATCACCTCCAGGAATGGTGAGATGGCCCCACACAGACGACTGCTTCTTCCACCTGCAGTCACACCTCAGCCCCAGGATGATTAGAGGGGGAAGGGAGGGAGAGAGGGGGGAGCCCTGGAGGAGCCTCATTCTCTCCATGCAAATTTTGTGACCAGCCCAGGGAGCCGACTTAGCTGGCTCAGTTACCTCTGCCTCCGAACCCACCATTCCTCCCCCTTCTCCTACACCAGGTTCCTGAGGGCACTGTCCAGCCACCAGGGGCGGCCAAGTGCTAGGACCCCCAAGAACGTCAAGCAAGGGCAAGATTAAAGCCTAGACAGCTCCTGGGAGTGGGAAAAAAGAAAGAGAGACTGCAGGGAAGCTGTCTTCTCAAAGTAGCAGGGCTAAAGACCTGAGGGTCTGTTTGCCAGGCAAATCCGTTACCAACCGGACATCCAACAGCCTGTTTGGTTATTCAAATCACAGCAGCTGTCTGAGGAAGTGGGGGTGAGGAGTGGGTGTGATTGCTTGCTCCAGAGGCTGGAGAGACAGCACGGTGCAGTAGGGAAGGACAAAGGGAGGATATAGGCTCTGCATCTTCCAACAGAAAGCTCTACCTTTCCGATCTTCAGATGCCCAAAGCTTCCAGCCAGAAACACTGTTCAGATGTAGCAGGTATTAGAATATTGGTGTGTTAATAGTCCAGCTCCTAGTGATTGCCTGGGACACCACTCTCCCACTCTCCCACAGTCCAGGAGCCAAAGGGGGTGACCTGACACAGCCAGGGGCTCCCAGAACCCCACCCCTACATTCAAGCGAGTCTGTGTTCTAGATTGATCATTGTCTGATCGCTTAATCCCTGGTTAAGGATTTTGAATATTCTCTGTGCAGTTACTTCCTCTCACTTATCCAGTCAGTGACTTCCTGAGCTCCAACTATGGGCCAGGCCTAGCTCAGCACTAAAAATGAAAACATAACTTAGCCCATGGGGGAGACATGCCAGTGACACTGCAGAATGACCAAAGCTATGATGGGGGGTGCACAGGCAAAGTGATCCCAACTGCAGTAAAGAAAACCCAGGGGGCTCAAGGGAGCCCGGAAGAGGCTCCTGATCCAGCCTAAAGGTTCAGAGATGACTGCTGGGTATAGCCCTGAAGGAAGATGAGGTTTCAGGTGAAACCTCATCTGCCTGTGTTCCAGGCAGAGGGAACAGTCTGTGCAAAGGCTTGGTGGTGAGAGAAGCATTATTTCTTCATTTCTTCACATGCCCTGAGAGTCCTGCTGGTTCATTTGGGGCAGCACAGGAGGCGGGACTGAGAGTCTGTTAGCCCAGAGCTTTGCCACTTTATCTTTGCAGAACCCAGGCAAGTCACTTCTTGCTTAGCCTCAGTTTCTTCATCTGGAAAATGGGACTAATGTGTCTCCCTATCACTGGTTTGTGTCAAAGATCCATGTAGATCATGTGGGAAGAGTGCTTAGCATGCAGCATTTTTTATTTTTTTTAAAGATTTTATTTATTTATTTGAGAGAGAGAGAATGAGAGAGAGCACGAGAGGGAAGAGGGTCAGAGGGAGAAGCAGACTCCCTACTGAGCAGGGAGCCTGATGCAGGACTCGATCCCGGGACTCCAGGATCATGACCTGAGCCGAAGGCAGTCACTTAACCAACTGAGCCACCCAGGCGCCCAGCATGCAGCATTTAAACAGGGTGGTTGTTAGGAAGTCTTGAGGGGTGGCTAGGCAAGCATGTGAGTTTCAGTCAGTCCATCTGTAAGTGTTAAGTGCCAGGACACCTGGGTGGCTTAGTCAGTTAAGCGTCTGTCTTTGGCTCAGGTCATGATCCCAGGGTTCTGGGATCAAGCCCCACATCGGGCTCCTTGCTCAGCAGGGAGCCTGCTTCTTCCTCTGCCTGCCGCTCCCCTAGCTTGTGCGCTCTCTCTCTCCAGCAAATAAAATCTTTAAAAAATAAAGTTCTTTAAAATGTGTTTTGTCTCCATCTCACAATTGTTGGATTTCATGCACCTGAGACTGGTGTGTGCAGCGTAAGTCTGGCAGCCCAGTATCTAGGATCAGTCCAGCCTGGGAGTGCAGGGCGGAAGCTGCAGAAGAATGAGCTAGCAAATGGTTACAGGGAGCCATCTTGTCTCTTCCCCCGTGCCCAGTTCTCCCTGCCCAGCACCATGTCTCTTGGGGCAAGTGGTTCCTGTGTTACTGAAAACACATTAGGGAAGAAATTCAGGGCTGGGTGTCTTTGTCCCCATACCCTTTCTGTCCCACTCCTCCCGTGCCCCCTCGCTCCCAATAGGATTTCGACAATAGGGAGCCCCACATAAGATGGGAGAGAGGATTTCTCCAACTCTCTCCCTATGGAGTTGCCAGGCACACAGCTCCCCTCAGGCAGCCCTCTCTCCAGGATTGGCTCTTCTGGGTCCCACTTTGCTCCCTTGTATCTATAGCTCAAGGCTAGGGTGGGAGTAACAGCTCTTCTCTGGGACCAGTCCAGGATACCATACCAGCCCTAGGATTTCCCTATCCCCTGCCCACTTCTTTGTAAATGATCCCTTCACTGAACTCTCTTTGAAACATCCCGTGTGAGCATTCTGTCCTCCTCCCGCTGGGGCCCTGTGGGTCCACAAACCGCACGCGCACACATTCATCGGCAGTGGTTTCTTAACCAGCCAGTTTGTCAGAGGAGAGAGTCTGGTCTTTCCAGGGCAGAAGAGCTTAGCATTAGGAAGTGGAGAGTGGCAGACACACTGGGTCCTCTCTATCAGCGCACCCTCCTCTTGTGCTGAGAGAACCCAACTTTCTTTGAACAGCGATATGGCCAGGACAGGAGATGGTTGGTCCAAGTGAATCAAAGCCATCTCCATTCTTGCCTACAAATGCTCTGAAAGGGGAAGTGTCTAGGAAGGCTTAGCACCTTTCTTACTACCCTGGCAGCTGCCCTCCTTCGGGCCTTTGCTCCTGGTTAGCTGAAGGTGTACTGCCCAAGTGCCGGTATGGCAACCATGTTGCAGCTCGGAGGGCCTAAGCTGGAGGGTGGAACTCAGCCTCAGAGGCTATCGGGGCCAGGAACATAATCAAGAGTAACAAATGTCCCTGCAGCATGGGCCCCCACAAGCCAGCCGTTTGCTACTTGGGCGTTGAAGGCTTTTTTTAAGAGTTTATTTGAGAGAGGGGCGCCTGGGTGGCTCAGTTGGTTAAGCGACTGCCTTCGGCTCAGGTCATGATCCTGGAGTCCCAGGATCGAGTCCCACATCGGGCTTCCTGCTCAGCAGGGAGTCCACTTCTCCCTCTGATCCTCTTTCCCTCTCGTGCTTGCTCTCATTCTCTCTCTCAAATGAATAAAACCTTAAAAAAAAAAGTTTACTTGAGAGAGAGTGCACAAGCAGGGTTAGGGGCAGAGGGAGAAGCAGACTCCCTGCTGAGCCCAATGTGGGACTCGATCCCAGGGCCCCGAGATCATGATCTGAACCGAAGGCAGACGCTTAATCGACTGAGCCACCCAGGCACCCTGAAAGCTTAATTATGATACAGCGTGGGAGAAGGGGTACATTCCACTAGGGAAAGGCTCAAGATGGTCCTCTGGGTATTTAGGGGCCTGGATGCCAAGCCTTGCTTCAGGGATCTTCAGTGGCCAGGCAAGGAAGGGGCAAGGAGAGAGGGTCCCCAGGGGTCTGTAACCTGTGGGGCAGGGCAGGGGCAGGGCCTCTGAGAAATAAACAATACTGGGCATCTCCTCAGCTACCAAGATCAGGCATCTTATTATGGGGGAAAATTGTGTTGTATTTCTTGGATTTAAATGTCATGAAGTAACAAGGCCCTGCCCCCTTGAACTCCGTTCTTCCTCCCATCTCCTCTCTTACCTTTTCTCCTAGCTCACTCCATTCCTTCCATGTATGTTTGATCCCCCCGTGGGATGTTCACACTGGCTGTTCTGTCTGCCCGGGCATCTTCCCAAGATGTCCACATGACCTGTGCCTTCTCTCCAGCCTCAGCTCAAATGTCACCCCGGAAAGGCCTTCCCTGGCTCATCAACCAGCACAATGAACTCCCTCAGCTTACCTACAGTTCCACAGATACTGCTTACGTCCTGTTTTGCTCTCTAGAAGGCTAATGCCATGAGGGCAGATGCTTTGCTGGTCTTGTTCCTCCCACTACCCCCAGCGTGTACAACAGACAGTACCCTGCAGGATTGGTTGTGATGTGTGTTAGTGTTTCCGGAGACAGCAGAGGGCCATGGCCTTATGCTGAACGGTCTGGCTCTGCCACGAGGCAAGCCTAGGTCTGAGTCCCAGCTGTGTGGAATCCGGAGCAAGACTGGATCTCTCTGGGCTTGTTTCTGGTGGGCCATGACCATCCGACAGAGCAGAGAGGGACTCAGGCAAGTGGTGGTTGAGGCCACAGCAAGCCACATGGTGGGGCTGTGGTTCAGGGGAGGGCCCTCCCTCGCCAGCTTCCTTGTTAGAGAGAATTGGGACAGTGGGGGCTTTTGTGGTCACAGGAGTGGCTTTCTTGGCAGACATGCCACATGGCTAGATGCCGGCTGCCTGGGGAAGCTGCTACCACAGCTGGGAGCTCATGGGATGAATCTGGATAGAATTATCCCGCTGGGGAGAGAATTACTTGTCCCAGGTGCTGGACGGCCTGGGCATGCTGCCCGATTGTCTAGTCACTGAGCTTGCTGGTCTCTCCTCAATTTCCCCTGCTGTAGGTGGGGACAAAAGCCTGGACCTCACAGGATCCAACCTGGGCTTGGCCTGGGGGGCCCGAACCAATGGGGTGGCAGTGTGTGTCCTGGGAGCCAGGGTCTGGCACATGGTGATGGCAGTGGCTCCAGTGGGTTCTTGGGCACCAGTAAGGGGGCAGGGAGGAAGGGCTGGCCCCTCCTTGGGGAACAGCTGGGCCCCACTGGGCCAGGACCCCAACTGACCCCATAGCAGCTCAGGGGGGATGGACGACATGGCATACCAGGTGTTGGGATCATCATTATTGCAGTTCCCTAATTTCTTGGGAAGTTGGTCCCATTGACGGAGTCCTGCGCTGGGGCTGATGTCCCCCAGGTGAGACAGGAAGAGGAAGAGCAGGTGAGGGTACAATGCTACGTGGCTAACACCTGCCACATACAAATTTCATCCCTTGCAAAGTTCATCCACCCACGTTCCCCGGGCTGGTCCAACACAACACTGCTGTCCACCCTACTCTCCTTCCCCGCAT